GCCCACCCAGTCCACCACCGGCGTGCGGGGGGTTTCGGGGTCTGGCCTGCCTCCCCGTGGGGCCTCGGTCACGGCCTTCAGCCGGGGACGCGGTGTTGGTGTTTTCACAATAAGCTCTGTTGGGGGAAAAAGCCAGGAAACCACGAGTCTGTCACTCTATGGACAATACTTAAAGACAACTATACGAAAGCAGCACTGATTTTTGACTTACGTAACTTCTTTCTTGGAATTTGCTTACTTGATCCTATTGAGAAATAACAACACTCCTGGCGAGCCAATATTTCCTCAACGAGAAATGTTGGCTGCTTTTAGTTAGCAGGGAGGACTGCAGGGCTTAATGCCAACAAGTAAGCCTCTCCCAAGAAGGAAACTCCAAGCAGTTTGTTGGCAAAATGTCAGCCTGGCCATTGAAGGGTGGGCGCTGGAGTTCCACTGTCAAAGAGGAGTTCCTCACCATACCCTTCTCCCCTGCTGAAAGCATTTTAAAGACAGGCACTATTTCTGCTCTTCTCGTCATTGCTAATGATTGGATCGTTACCAGACCGGAGCGCCGGCCTCCCCGCTGGGCCAGATGCTTTATTCAGAGGAGCTGAAATAAGGAACGTTCAAAATCAATTCTCTCTGGCAACTGGAATGTGCAAAAGGAATGGAGTTGCCAGGACAACACATAAAACAGGATTTGGGCTTGGGTTTTTTCTTCCTTATGAAAAAAAATAAAAGAGCCTCCAACTCCGAAGAGCTGAAAATTCTTTGCTGTCACAGTTTCCAGGCATTACTGCGCTTACTCATTCACATGTGCGCTATTTTTAGCTTAAAAATAAGTTTTAGCTTGTCAGAAGGAAGCAATTCAAAATTGCTCAGAATAACAATCAACTGAGCTGGGACAGTGTCACAAACATTGGCAAAGACTTCACGACTTTTTGAATTATACCCTAGATTTATCCATTCTCATTCATCATTTGCTTTCTAATACAGAGACGAGGAAAAATACAACTACCTTCTTAGTGCTTAATATCTATTGTCCTGAAAAGACAAATGCTTGCAGTGGTCCAGTTTTTCCAAATAACGCTCTTTGGAGAGGAGTTGTATTTGTGGCATGAAAATATTTCCCTTCTTCAGAAGCTGAGGTTCTGAAGGCAAGAAATAAGATATGAAAGCCTTACCTGTGCACACCTCAGTTGCTGGAGCCTGATTTGGCAAAGCACTTAAAAATCCTGGAACTCATATAACAATATGTAGGACCGCATGAAAGCTAATGGTCACCTGGGAGTGCTTTTCACCTCACTGAATAAAGTTGTTATTTATATTACTCTTCATTAAGCTATTTATTAAATACACTTCCAACAAACGCACTCATCCAGCTAATGCAAGCTGCCTACCTTGTCAATTCTGTTACATTCACACTAAACACTAAGCAAACAGCAAAATATTTACAGCTACACGTCCTTGTTTGCATGCTTCTGAATTACAATTTTCATGCTTGGTTTTCACCTAAAAGTGGATTTAATTCTTGAGACACTTAGCAGAATCTCTCCCACCATTTCTAAGTTTTAATTTATGATGAAAACTACCTTGTAAACAAACCCAAAAGATTTAGTTATATGTATAGTTTAAAAATCTGAACTTTGGAGTTGCATAGAGAATAATGCATAAGCAGAAACAGAGGCAAAACTGGTTGAACATGAACTGAGTTATTAATGTTTGGAAACTGCGTGCGCAGCTTGCAAAGGAGAACATTTCTGAAGATGTGATGAGTGCTCAGGCATGTCAACAGTCAATAATTAGCCTTAGATCTTGTTCCACCTTAAAGACTCAATCTTGCAAGGTGCTGAGTGCCCTCATTCCTCTCTGAAGTCAAAGCTGTAGGAACTGTCAATGACTCAAATGCAGTGTAACATGACTAATGTAACTAAAAATTAAATAAAAGTATTCTGACATTAGAGTTCCTACAGTTATACCAACTTCACGACAAAATTCTTAGAGGACTGCCTAGGTACTTATGTGTGTAAACAAAATGCACAGAGGAAAAGAAAAGTGATGCTGCCTAATGTAATTTTGAGATCCTAATAGCGTATTTAGGTTTTTGCACTTAACATAAGTAGTATTTGGCTTGCTGCAGATTCAGCTACACCATTGACTACTCCAGCTTTAGCAGTACAATACTTTATTCAGTATGAAGCAATCAAAAAGCCCTGGAGGGTTCAGATAAGCCAAAAGTTCACCTGAACGGCTGATCACTTTGATTCTTTGGGAGCATTTTCTCATCCCGTATTCTCTCACAACTAACAATGACCCTGCCCTCATCTTGCTCAATGAGCTATTTCCCAATCATTTAGCCATCATATCCTTCAGCTCCTGAAGTGCTCCTCACTACCTGAAGGCACTGCAAAAAATCACTTATCACTGAAAAACACCATTGAGCACAGGATCTCAGTACAAAAACAGTTATGGGGAAACCACGTTGGTGGTAATGAAACAGGTATGATGTAGCATGGAAAAGCAAAAATGTACAGCGGCAGAAACTACAGAGGAGATTTCACAGGGCCAGGAGAGGAGAAATACCTTATGTCTTATTTGAACCAACTCTTCAGATCCAAAACAGCTGGTAAGAATTAATTTTGAGGATACTCTGAAGAATGAAGTTCTGGGTGGTCTCCACGCATACAGAGATAGTAGGAGCCTGGAGTTTGTATTTACGACCAGCTAACATGCACCAATAATATACAGCAACAGTGACACTTACTCTCCTTTGGCACAAACTGGATGCGCTTGCTTTTTACTTTCACTGGCGACGGCTCAACTCGGCATTTTCCTGGTGGTGCTCTCCTGCAAAAAAAGGGACACATATAGTGCACAATTAATTCCTTTCCCCTGGCATCGTGAGCCTTTGCTTCCCATTGTTTTTCTATGAGTGTAATGCTCGTTGGAAAAAAAAATAATGTCTGTTTAAATGATCCAAGTAATCTCTTACGGCAGAAAACATAATTAAACAATCACATATCTCCGTTGATCAAAGTCCAAATATTCACAAGGCAGTGGAGTCCTCTGGCTGTGTTTTCACTTGCCATTGCTGAATCCATTAAGGAAATAAAACATTGGCAAGTTCAAGCACTACAGAAAGAGATTAATCAAACTGGAAATAAAAATTACAAAACTAGACCGTATATGTTAAACATCTGACATAAAGGTCATGTGTATGCAAGTTTTCAGGCTGTCTTCAGAGAAGCAAAATAACACACTATTATTCATACTTAAAGCCCAAACAAAAGACTAACTACTACAAAAGTAGTACCAAAAATGCATTACTTTCAAACTAGAGCTCTAAGTGTCTCCTACAGAGGCTCCCTCTTCATATGGTGCATTATTTTGACACAAATTTGTTTGGCATGGAGGACTATCTCACTCTGAGAAGTTAATCCAGTTCATCATCACTTTTTCCTACAAGGGCTGTCTTCTTAACCCACAGACTTCTTCAGAGGTTTTCAAACTGGTTCAAAAATGCATGATGTTTGCATTTGGAGGGTATAACTCTCTTGTAATTAGGATTGTTTGCATTTGCATTTCTGGGGAAGGCAAAGAGCTTCTCTCTCAACTACTGACACAGGGATGTTCCCTACTTTTATGAATTTTCCTATGAGTTTTTTCTGTACCCTACACATGACAGAAACTTCTTTTTAAACTCAAACTTATGACTTGCTTTTGATTTCTTTATTTTTGCAAGGGTTGTGTAATACCAGCCTCTTAATACACAGTTTACAGGAACTCTTCCACTGTGTTAGATAATGGAAAATGCTCCTGACAGAGAAGAGTTGGAGGAAAACATGCGGCAGCTCTGCGGGCTGTTTAACTTTGGGGTCTGGTTCCAACATAAAACCGGACAAGTGGTTTGGTTCAAAATGTTCAGATAGCTAAAGCTGTAAATTTAATCCGTTTAAAAAAAATAAAAGCTACAAAATCTCACTCTACATGTTTGGCTGAAAGTAGTTTGGTGTTTAGCCAACAATAGTAACGCTTAAAAAACAGGAAGATGGAAAACCAGCTATAAGTCTTCCCATAAAACACAGCGCTTCCTTGCCTTGCCCAGTCTCAGACAGATGCACATGGGATCCAGAAGGTCTAACAATGGTCTTATTTCCTTGTCCAAGCCATCTTCCATTTTGAAACACAAAAAAGAATGTACTTTTTGACATTCATTTCTGGTTTGCCTGAGAAAGCACTGCAGGTCACGCTGGGTCAGCTTCAGCTGCAGGTGCCTGGGCACAAGGCTCTTACGAGAGATGCAGGTGGCTACAAGGGATGGAGAGGAACTGAGAATAACCAGCTTGAGAAAAACTGCCTCCTTTTGGGCAGGAATCTAGAGAAACTGCCTGAGAAAGACAAGCCACCCATAAAATATTCCTTTAGCTTTCAGGAACAAATTTCCCAACCCACATAACACCAACAGGCCCCATAAGTTGGTGATCACCAGGCAGCGCAGACTCCCACGACTGCAGGAGCAAAGCAGACCCACAATGGGTTGCTCCAGCCATTCCTTGATCAAGCTCCACAGAAGGGCCCAGCATGGGAAAAGAGCTAGTTAGTCAGTCAACATCATTCATCACATCCACACCTGGACACTCTGCACCACACTCAGGCTTTGCAACAAGAACATCTCATACCTAGAGGTGTCCACCACTTTGTACACTACTCCATGGGGAGCTGTGGCACTTGGTACGCCGGTAGACATGAAGTAAAGTTCCCCTGGGAAAAAAAACAGACGCAGCCATGAAAACTCTGCATGAAGCTTCTGTCCTGTGCAGCACAAAGGCGTTAACCCTGCATCACAGGTCAGAGAGCATCAGGAAACCTGGGACCAACATGGAGATCTGGTTACTGGAGGAAACAAGGAAGGTTTGTATTTGGGTTTGTAGTGAGAGTTCATCTGCAGTCCAGTGGCATAAAATACTCTTAGTGAGTGGGAGCTTTTACATATTGTCATGAAATATTATTTGGACAAATTTCCAGGTTCAGCTGCAGGTTCAGCTGCCCAGACTTTAGCTGTCATCTCAGTCTGATCTGTGTCCTTTAACTTCACTAACACAAAACAGTCAAACCCTGAATTCCCTTTGTCAAAACTAAATAGAAGGAAATGAAGAATGTTCACACTATATTCTGCTCTTTTGGATGAAGCACTCCTTTGGGGTGAATTACAGGAGAACAAGATTTTGCTTTTGCTTTCTCTAGCACACTCACAGTGAGGTATATCTCACACAAAAGGCCTTTGATTCGTCACAGTTCTGTCAAGTCACATGGATAGGGCTCAACCTTCAGCCAGACAATGTCCATCACCATTTATTTGACTTATTTTTTTCTTAACTGCATTTCCATCCTTCTTCTGTTGTGCAGGAGAGGGCAGGATAAGCAGTCCCTCCAGCACTCTTCTTTCCCTTTTGCCAGCTCAAGAGCTTGAGTAGTGCAATGAAAAGGATTGGAGAGAAAAAATAAATTTGCAATATTTTTAAAAAAAAAGGAAAAAAAAGGAAGAAAAAGAAGCAATGGAGACCTGGTTAGTGAGTAGGGCAGATTGCTTTGGGCGTCCTATGGATACCCCAAGGGGAAGAGGGGAAGGAGCAGAGGGTCAGAATGGGCAAAGGAAGGCAGTCGGTGGCAGCTGGTGCTGCCTGCTGAGCCACCTTCTTCCTCCTCCCTGCTCTGCTGTGCTGCCCTGGGCTGAGCTCCTCTGGATGCTCCCAGGGCAGAAACCAGCCATCCTCTGGCCACCTCTGGCTCGTTTCTTGCCTTTTCTGGTGAGCTCCATTAACCACAGGCCAGAGGCAGCCTGGATCCAAACAGGGATGAGAAACACCTGGCACTGCATCTTGTGGTGCAGTGATGTGTGCTTTACATCCCACTCCTCCTTCCTGGAAATTATCAGGCAGAAATATGGATGCTGAGGCCATGAAGCACCCAGGCACCCCACAGACATAGCATGGTGCCTGGGGTGTCCCTGACACGTTCAGCTGCCAGGGGATGAGGCTGCTGGTTTAATAATGGCTGTGCAACAAGCCAAAAATATAGGTGTCCCCACCGCATCATCCACTGCACCAACCAGATTAACATTCATCAGAGCAACAACACCAAAACACAAATGTTTCTGTGAAGAAAAGCTTGTTAAAATAAACTGTGATAAACTTGTAAAAAACAAGATTCCCAGCACACCAAAAAGGTGCAAGAGAAGGCTCTTCACTGCAGATAAAGCAACCTCACTACACTGTTATCAACAGATTTCTTTCCATAATAATAAGTCAAACACAAGGCAAATAACTACCTCTGAAAACAGACTCCAGCCCAAATTTCCACTCAGTTCTACTGTACTTATGCAAAGCATATATGAAAAGTGCAGGGCAGAAGAAAGGCGGCAGCGTTTCACCCCCACTTTGCACAGCCTCTGCCCACAGGCGCAGGACGAGGGAGATGCGCTGCCCACATGCATAAGCAAGGGCTGCAATTAACAGCTTGATACTGCACTTGGGAGCCCTCTGAATTGGCATAAAGCTAAATTAAACCAAGTTATTCTGGTTTTAGGGTAAGATATCCTTCTTGCCATGGCACTGCGAAACAGCTCTACCTTCTGTGAACATTAACAAATAAAGAAACTGGATTTTAACTCCAAAAAAGATAAAACTCCAAATTCAAACTTTTGAGCTAATACTTAATTTGGATGATTTGCATGTACATGAGAAAATTTGGATTTGTATGATACGCAATGGATGTTGCATTTGTGCAACATCCACAGCTTACATAACCTGTAGGAAAAACAGAAGTTTAAAAACTGGGGCATTCTGGATGTGAGTGCTTGTGACCACGAGCCAGGACCTCTCCACAACTGGGCAGAACATAAACTCCTGCATTGCCGAGTTGCACACGAGGCTACTTAGCAATGGGGCTAAACATTGTGGGGCTCATCCTCTCCCCGTCCCCAGAGAGGGGCTGCACGCTCTGCCTGCCCCATTGCAGGGCTGGGCAATTAACCATACCTTTGTACGAACAAAGGGAGTAAACACCAGCTTTCACCCCAGGACTCTTTATTTCCTCCTTTCCAAACCACAGCAGCTCCCTTCTAGAAAGCAAAACATCTCCCATCTTAAAAATACAGCTATGCAAAGCTTCATTGAGACTGCATCCTTCAGTCCTATGCAAGGCAAAATCCGAGCTGGCACTAATAAAATATGGACTTAAGCAGCCTTTTGCTGATGCCTCACTCGAGATGTAATGTAGGGCTTTCGTTCTGTTTCACCTCAAGAGGTACAAATATTCCAGGCCAGGGTGAGCAGGTTCATAATTACTGTTCATTACGTCTGCTTCCCTGTATCCATTAGTAACACCAACAGCCTTCCTGGCTAGCCAAGAGCATAGACTTGCTCTCACTTGGGCATCACCTTCTCAGCCTCTCAGGGCCTGTGTTGCCCATGGCATGGCACCGTGAAGAATGAGGTTTCTTTCCTAAGCTGTGCTTTACTGTATTTGCCCCCCGCTGTTCCCTCCAGAGGGTAGGTGTGTGGGCAGCAGCATCCCCAGCGAGCCCAGACTCAGTCCTGAGGGAACTGCCTCTCCAGTTCTGCCTGCAGGCGCTGCATGGCACGCTGGCCTCAAAATCAGGACTGTAACTTCGGTTTGGTATTTGGGAGATGCTGGGAATCTCACCCACTGGCATTTTAAAGACTGACAGACTTATGCTCTGCCTCCCCACCACCTGCTGCCTCCCAGGAGCCCTCTGACCCCTTCTCTGGTGTTTTACTCCAAAGAGAAACCACAAGCATGCCATTCAGTGTGACATGAAGTTAAAAGATTACCTGCTTCATCTTCAGCAAAGGAGATGATGTATTGGTAATAGTTATTGATAAGCCCAGGGAACATGCATGTTTGTCCTGTCCCCATGCAGATTTCACTGTACTGCCACTCTCCTGTAGCATGATCCTCCTTCAAAGACATCAGGCGTCTGCAAGGCAAAAGAACACTTCCACAATGAAACCAAAAAGACAATTTATGAACATTAATGAGGACATCTGAAAGGATGTTTAATGCTTCCTAGCCGTATTAGCTGCAATAGGAACTGCAGCTCCTCTGAAAAATGAAGGATTGTTAATATTGAAACAAATATATTATATGCCTCCATAACACCTTGCCTTTCAAGGGCAACACAAGCATATGAGAAAACAATAGGGGAGGGTTTAAGGGATATCAGATTATTTGGGGGGTGGAACCCTGCCAGAGACACAGAGCGCCTGGCTTCACTGCAACTCTGTGGCCTCTCTCCTGCACCCAGGTCCAGGGCATCAGCTGCAGCAGGCGGTGTGGGTGCTGAGTCCAAGAGGCCTGGGAGATGCAGATACAGCAAAGGCAGAGGACGTGGGGGGAAAACAAAGCAGTCTCATGCCTGCCTCATCACAGGTTTGCAGCAGACTCACTGCTGGACAATTTTATTTTTTTTTCTTTCAACACCTTCAGTATCTGGAAACATTACATCAGAGTGTTTGGGTTTTTTTAGGATGTATCCAAATGCTTTTTTACACCACTTCCAGGACTTTAAATGAACATCATATCATTGCCCCTTTATTTGTACTGGGACAATATGCATCAGCAACATCAAGGGTTGCTGGAATGCAAAGATTGCATTCAATGGAATAAAGGTTATATAAAACATGCCACATGAGCCCTCTGTAATGAGCAGTCAGGCTTTGTGCAGTGCTTGCAACCAGCAAGTAGCAGCATGTCCTCCGTTGTCAGACTGCATGAGCACTCGCAGGCCGGTGTAGTATCACTGGAGGACTTAGGGCTGGGGATATGGCTTAGTCAGTATCTGAAGTATTTACTTACCCGCTCATAAAATCACCAAATATATACAGGCCATTCAAGTTCGGAGACTCACAACCCCGATAGACATAGCCTCCTGTAACAGATTTCCCCATTTTGTGTGGATATGCGTAAATTGGAAGCACATCATCTGTAGGGGAGAAAAGACCTGTGACTTGCCTTGTTTTACACATGATGCAGAATAGCTGTTTATCTAGATAGTTCTGAGACTAGCACGATGCAATCAGGTTCATTTGAACATCTTCTGATTAAATGAAGTGCCGATGGAGTCATATTTAGTTTGATTTTCACCTTTTCAGAACCATGTTTGATAGCCCTGCCCAGCTGGCTGTGCTAACCAAGGACAAGCTAGCTCAGTGGGACTGGTCAGTGTTCCACTTGCAATATAAGCTGAATCCCTGATAAGCCTGAGTGCTCTCTGTCACCCAGACACCTCACCGTTCTCCTGAGCCCTTCTCCTCCGGCTACAACCCAGCTCTGTTAGTGCTGCTTCTGCCCCATTTCTACACAGTCTGGATAGCTTTGCTGCAAATTTGCAGGTTACTCTTAGAGCAAGTCACTGCATCCATGCAGCTGTTTTGCCCAATGCAGCTTTGTTTCAGTGGTGAAAGGGAAAAAAGAGACCGGTAACTCCATACTGCAGGCACTGATGAAAGGACATGTCAGGTGTCAGCACGAATAGCTTCTGTTTCTCTGAGACAGGGGAGCTTAACCTGAAAGGGCGATCAAATATTTATGGTATGGCACAGGCAAGATGTAGTACTGATATGTTCATTGTAAAATATAACTTAAGACACAAGACAGAGGCAAAACAGAGGGAGATGCCCTGATTTGGAAGGTCTCTATTAGATGCTTCCTCTCCTTTCTTTTGAAACTCCTGGTCACAGGTATCTCCACATCGTACCCACCCTTCCTCGTCCTCACAGCCTTTCTCCCTACCCATGTGGCAGATGCCTGAAGTAGCAAACCGGGCAGCTCTGCCAGCAAGGAAGTTGCACCAGGGGCATTTTGTCTAAAGCAGGTGTTTTCTACACTTCAGCTGCAATTATCATTTTAAAAAGGCTGTGACATTTCACTGTTCTAACAAAAGGATCTCTAAAGGCATCAGAAATTGTTCCAAATTCCTCAAGACCTCAGCAAACTGCCTGCCATGAATACTCACCCAGGCGCTGTCACACAGGAGAGGACTAAACAGGCTCTCTGACAACTGCTTCAGCGAAGGGAGTGCAAAAAATCCGCTCCCTGCTCTTAAAATGTTTATAAAAAACACTTAATCATTACCACTGCACTTGTAGCTAAGTTAATAAAAAAGGAAGTTAAACTAAGTTAATAAAAAGAAGGAAGTTAAACAACAACACATAGCACATAGAAGAGAAAAAAATCAGAATTTCAAAAAGTGCAAATCGGTGCCAGCCCACTGCCCCCCTGGGTATCTGGGGAGCTGCAGCAGCACAAGATGTGGTCCACATCAAACCTTGCAACACAATACGCTCTGACTTCACACATGCACTGGAATTTTGCCAGCCAGCAAATACCCTGAATCCAGGTTTGAAAAGTTTGAAAAAAAAAAAATCAAGGTTTTCCTTTTTGGCATAGCTAAAAGAAACAAAAATACACTGTACATTCAATTACCTGCAAAGCAAGCAGTGTGAGTTACGGAGAAAAATACAACTGCTCCAATTTTTTTCTCGCTTCTGCAGGAAAGCTTATTTTATGTGAGAAAGATGAAATTGTCCCCCTAAATCACAGAATCGCCAAGCAATTTGACTAACAAAACAGAACGCTTAGAAAAACAACAGCTAGCATGTTTCATTTTCCTCCTAACTCAAAAATGGTAACATTTGGACTTTCAATATTTATCCCCAAGTCAGTTCCCTTCTAGACTGAGACAGTATAGATTTACATCTCAAAAATGTATGTTTTCCACCAGGCAGCCAGGCTTTGAAGGCAGGAATTAAAAACGACGGTGCAGAAGATTGCACAGTGGGAGATGCAGGTAATTTAGAGAGCACATCTATTTACCCATTGAAGAATTGGTGCAAAGTTTTTTATCGTAACAGCTGAAGCCTTCCCTTGCCCTCCAGCCATAATTTTTCCCTTTCTCAACGATGTCGATTTCTTCGTATTTATTCTGCCCCACGTCTCCGCAGAAGAGCCGCCCTTTCCCTTCCTTGGTGTGCGGTTCGCCCCTATCAAAAGAGCAGCGCCACATATTTCTCACTCCGTACGCGTAGATTTCGGGGCGAGCCTTAGGGTCATTAAGAAAAGGGTTGTCAGGAGGGATTCGGTACAGAGGTCCGCGGTCATTGTTGTTCACATCGATCCGTAGCACTTTGCCTAGCAGGGTTGATCTGTATCGGGAGAAGAAAGGAAAGAAAAAAAGATAAAGAAATAAAACTAGACCTTGGCTAAACATCAGAGATGGGGTTTTTGGAAAGTCTAGGGTTTCATTCTTTCTGTTTTGGAAAAGACAAGTCTTTCAGTCTCTCTGAAAAAACAAACATTTCAAGACAATTTGATTTGCCACAGGCCACCGAAAAGCCTTCAGGTGGCACTGACTTCCCAGGACCTGCCGCCCCACGTACGCACGCTGCTGGCTTGGAGCTGCTGTAGGGATGGGTCTGCTCTTACTTGTTCTGGGCGTTTCCAAAGGTTCCAAAAGGATCTCCAGCCATGCCTCCATCTCCAGTAAATATATAGAGATACCCATCATCTCCAAAGAGCAACTCTCCTCCATTATGGTTGGAAGCAGGTTCTTCTATTTCGAGGATTATCCTAAGCAAAAGCAGGGAGGAGGCATTACCTACTGCACAAGCCCTAAGGAAAGGGCAGAGCAATGTCACTCCAGTGTTGCCCTTGATACACGGAAACAGCTACAGATTGGTTCTGATGCAAATTCCTCCATATCCAGGTTACTGAACTTTGCTTGGGCATAGCTGCTTTTCTAACCTTAAACAATTCCAACATATTTTCTAGATTACAGAAACAGCAAGTTGTGGAATAAGGAAAATCTGGGAATTAATTAATTGATTGATTATACTTTTCCTCTGGTTCTTCCTTCCTCCTTGTTAAACTTCTTTTTTTTCTCTCTTTTTTTTTTTTTTTAAGAAAAGGCATATCAGCTTAAACCCAATTGTAAACTCCAAGAGAAAGGACCCCAGTCCATCTGTGCATCTGTACAGCATTTGGCACAATCCTGACAGGTGCTTTCAAGGTGAACCTAAAACTTTTCAGACATTAAGGAATAGTTAAATTCTTAGAGAAGAATTCTTAAATGATAAATACATACACAGGACTTCAGGAGTTTAAAGAGTGGTTAAAAGCAGCTCCACCAACAAATTAACATTTTGACAAAGGTTATTCAAAGCAGCACTAACAACCTTTACCTTAATTTTAAAACCAAACTCTCTCTTTTACCTGTTTATTTTACACACCTGGTCCCTTTCATAGTAAGCAAAGGGTGAAATATATAAAGTACAACTTTATAGAAAGGTGAAGCCACAAACATACGCAGTGGAGGTTCCCAGGAATAATAATTGAAGTTTATTTTACTCCAGCTTTTAAAAACGTCCAGATTTCATGCTGATAGTGCCTCTTAATAGCTGCAAAACCACATTATAATAATCACTTATACCACCTCATTTTCAGTCAGTTTTTTTCCCTTCTGAACGTACTGATAGTTACAGTCGTGATCAGATTGTAAATTGTGGGAAGGAACCCAACTATGTAATTATTGTCACCTGCTGTTAAACATTACCACCTCTGAGATAAGGTAACTGTGCATGAGCACACAGACTCCAGCCGGCTGAAGAAGCGAGGGAGGATCCTGTACAGACACAAAGGTGAATCTTCCTCAACGTCCCAAAAAAGATGGAAAAAAACCAAAACACACTGAGCAAAAATATGCCGATAAACAGACATACGCCTTCCTGCTAAGGCAATGCCCACCATGTGTTGGCCTGAGGTCCCTCTTGGGCAGCATCTCAGTATGAAGTCAGTGGGACCCGTGCCTACACAAGCACAACAGGACCACAATTTTGTTTTCTTAAGCTTTCGCCGTACTAACCATCAGCTAAATAAGCACAGAAAATGTTACAAACATAGAGCCTGAGGATTTTTAAACAAGACAACTCATAGGCCCTGACATTTGCAGGTTTAAGCTCCTGACTTGCTTTCCTGAGGACCACATTTCAGTTCCCCTTACCTGTCATCTACAGCGCTGCTTACACTGAGTTGCTGTAATTGCTTTATAAACCAGCATCCCCTTTCTATCATTAGGTTACATGCATTTTTGAGCTAGAATCATCCACTGCTGAGTATTTGGAAATATAACCCATGTAACAAAGCAAAAATCTTAACATTAATAATACTCAAGAGTCTATTAAAACAGGCATTCTATTACATGGTTCTGCAACAGGTTATAAATCTATAGACAGACTCCACAAACAAACCTCTCATCTGTGCATATTAATGTGGATCAGCTGCAGAACCAGACTCAAACAACTGAAATTTCCAATCAAAATGCACTCAGTAATAACACAGTGGCTTGCATTTTATTTAACTTGATATTAAATTTGTAATATCACAGGGTTGAGCTGTCATTCAGATAAAGAAATGCAGGGCCAAATCCATCTTTGGTCTGGTATCACTGAGTTCACTTATACTGATTTTGGAAACCTTTGGCTTCAGAATGAATTTCACTCATGCTTTGCAGAAGTCTATTTGAGAGGGTAATCATTACAATACCAAAAAAACCCCAACCAAAAAACAAACCCCAAAATACTAACTGTAAATAATGTTTAATCAATGCTCAGTTAAATCTTCTGACATACCAGAACTGAGAAATGTAAATGTTTTATGCCTGAGCACCTGCAGTTCATCCATGGAGGACACGTGTATTCTCTATCTCAATATGCTAGACATAGACTTGGACTAACATGCCAACACACTCGAATGCAAGAACAAGATTATGCTAAATAAGTCTCATTCATTAATAGCCTTTAAAAATGCACAAGCTGCCCTCTGAGATCTTAAATACATTTGCCAGAGAAATGTGTGTACAATACCTTTCAGAACCATGGTCCAAAGCATTCATGTCAGCAGGAGAAATTCTGAACTCACTGATTCGGATTCTCTCTTCATAACGAACTTCAACTGAATAGTAGACATACACTTTACCATTAAATTTGAATTTAGGATGGAAGACAATACCTAGAAAACCTCTCTCGTCTCCTTCCCAAGGTGAGGTAAGTACGGCTTCGCTGATGTTCAGAAATGGCTTTTCAAGCCTGGATCGATTGGGGAGGTAGGTCCACACCAGGCCAACCTGCTCCGCAATGAAGAACCTGTGGGTGCCATCGTTGGCGTGCACCATTGCAACGGGATTGCGCAGCCCGTTGGCGACCTCCACGAGGCACAGCTGGAGACAGCCCTCTGCGTCAGCCGTCACTAACCCCAGGTTTTGGTTAAGGTTCTGGTTAGCCAGCAGGTGTGGAAAGCAGTAGTCTGTGTCCTCCAAGGACAGGTAGCGGCAGAATTTTGCCATGTTGTTCTCCAGTGCAATTAACTCTTGGTCTGCAGAGAGATAGCGAAAAATGGAGCGGCATTTTTGCCACACTTGCCGGCAATAGTCTTGGCAAAGTCCTGGTATTGTCCGCACAGGGGTGGAGGGATCCTCGGCATCGTACAAGTGAGCTGCATATGGAGAGCATTCCTAGAGGGAGAGAGAAAAATCCTCAAGCCATTTCTTGGACCAGATTTGAAACAGCTGAGCAGCAATACTAATTGGAGAAATTTCACCTTAATTACAACATATGTTGTGGTTTATTCTGGAGATGTATTAACAGAGGAAAAGATCTTAGAAAGGGGGTTTATCTCAGATCTTCAATATTCCTGGTGAAAGCTGGCTTCCTCATGCTGTTATTTATCTATTTTAACCACAGGACTAACTCAAGAAAACCAGCAATGATACGTATCTTGCTATGTCACCCTAGCAGACTGTATTGGGGAAAAGGAGACTTTTCTACCTTGCATGCTCTGACTTTACCTATGAAATAATGAGCAGATTCATCACAGCACAGAAGTGAAACCAAAGAGTTAGCTGAGAAGATTCAGGTCCTGCATTTCCAGGCTGAGGAGGGAATGGGAAAGGTCAGCAGGGCCAAAGCCTGCAACTTTCATACCTTGTCATCTGATAATCCAGACATGCACCTCAAACACAGATGTGATTTACAGGTTGGGAGGAGCGGGATGAGGACGTGTAGGAGCAGAGGAGAAGGACATCCATCCTTTGTATCGTGCAGTGCACCCAGCCCAAGGATGCTATTACTGCATACACCATCCTTGCTCGGGTCCAGCTGCCTTTGCTGGTGGATCTTTGCCTACAGGCAGTTTATATACCTGACTAGAAGTGGTGAAATGTATCTCATGATCATGACACTGGTTACCAAGTTCTGTGGGGAATGCTCAGGATACAGGATTTCAGAGAGTGAGCACCAAATGGCCCTAATCCAGGCAAGGTCCACTGGCAGCGGCTGCAGCTCAACCCTCGTTTATGGAAGGTGCAGCCTTGGAAATCTACCTAAGGACTGAATCAAGTTCACATAGTTCATTGTATTCTCCACTATGAGAATTCCTACAAGCTCATTTTCCTTATGTAAAAAGCTGCAATCTGGTGAAACTGTCTGTAAATTACAAACTGACCAAAATGACTCAGTTCTGCTTTGCCAGGGCTTTTCCTTGTAATAAACACACAATATTTTCCAGTTGTAATGCATCTTCCTGACAAGCATCTCAAAAGTGCTCTTCCAATAACGTAACATGACTCTGTGGGGGCTCAGTTATTTTCACAGGGTAGATAAATAACTAAGGCAAGAAAGGTCATAAGAGAAGCTATCCTTCTTGAATAAATTCTGCATTTTTTAATTCCTAGCTGGCATTTCTTCCAAGCAAAACCAGTTTAGTTAAAAAAAAAATACAGGGAGCTGTTTCTAAATCTATAGAGAGCTATTTCTTAACGTAGATTACAGCACTACTCAATAGCTGAAAAGATATAACATCCGAGATACTGAAGTATTTAAATTAGCTGATAAATACACACAATATTTAATTTTTATTTTATTTTCCATTACATACCATAATAAACAGAGAGGCCATATAACAGATCATTAGTGCACAATAAGCTTTCCTCCTGGAATGTCAAGCCATTCATTGCAAAATGAAGGTTATTATGCCTTCAAATGAGCAGCAATTAATGTGGTAAAAAGGAGATTACGTGTGACACAAAACACTGAAATTACATGGGCAGATTGGGTAACGGCCCTCGGCTCGGTTACATGAGGTGTGCCAGGGACAGAAAGAGATGGAGCATTTGCCGATGCAGTTGTTATGACTGAAAATTTAGCCTTAGAAAACAATTTGAAAGGAGACAGAAAGAGAATTTGAAGGCAGGGCTGGATGGGAGCTCAGTCTATTGCTGCCTACGAAGGTTTCACATTCAGAGAAAGGAAGACCCTTGCTTGAGTACGGAGTGTACCTGGTTCTCCAAAAGCCTCTTTCAAAGCAAGCAGTGATCTTACGCATTATAAAGCAATGTCCTGGCTTCAGCATTGGAATTAGAAACAGCACAGAGGTATGGATTCCCTGTCCCTTCATCGCTGCGGGCTGTTCACCCCAGCCTCAGGGGTGTTTGAGTAGCAGTTGTGGATGACTTCTTCGCTCCTTACCACGTGTCTGGTGGCATACGGCTATTTACAGCAGCATCGCACTGGCAGTCATGTTCAGAGATCTATCACTAGCCAGGCAGTACCCAAGCATGTGTCTAGGCTATTTTCCAGACACATGTGGAATATTTTCTAATTTTTATTCCACAAGAGATAGAGTCCGACACCTGATCCTGAATTTCTCTGTTTCTGAGGCAAATGTTGTGGTCCTCCACCCTTCACATCATCTTGTCATGTTCACTAACTCAAAACACTACGAAACTCTACACTCAGTCACAGCCCAGCATCACTAATTGATCTAAATTCTCATTTTCAAATGACATGGTCTGTTCATTCATTTTAAACTATGATGTGGTCCAAAGATGAAGGAAACTAATGGGCAGATGATCAGTCACTTCAGTAGGGCTGGAACAAGCTCGCACTATAAAAATAACTCATCATAAAATAAAACAAGTGACATTAAGACAAGTTAGCCAAATCCATCCTCTCTGTTCCAGGAATTCAGAAGCAGCTGCTTCTCTAAGGAGTTGCAACAGTCTGAATCTGGACGAACACCCACATCAAACAATGGCTTATTTACTGCTGCTGTAAGCCTGAAGGAAGCAACAGAACTCCTCAGGAAAGCGTCTTAACTTCCACGTAACCCCTGACATTCCCTGTCCAGCTCCATCTGGAAACTCAAGCCTTTAAGCAAGCTGTTCCCTGAGAAGCAGAACGAGGCATCTTCTCTCCCGCAGTTTGGTATCCTGCATCCCACTGTGCAATAATCCATATCCACACACATCCCCTGAGACCTGCTGCCCCCATCAAATTACCTGTGGGTGTCAAGGCTGTGGGGCAGGCAGGAGGGTGTCCCACCACAGCCTTCCTCTCCCCCATGGCCAAAGGCATCCTCTTAGCTTGATTCTGGGAGGAGGGAAACCCTATTTTGGGGGTGGGGGATCACAGGCAGCATTGAGGGAAGGATGTTTGTGCTCTTCTACTTGCCCTTCCACAAAGAACACAAACAGTACCACATAGCAAATCACAGTTTAAGAGAAGGTAGGAATCCTCACCACAAGTACAAGCTGAGACACTTGTCAAAATAATTTGATCACATTTGAGAGAAATCACTAATTGTGAGCAGAAAGAGAAAGAAGTATGCTGAATAAATGACAGAAATCAACTTATTAATTCAGATCTAGGATACAAATTGTATATATAATGAATGAATGGAAGCAGAGCGTTCTGGAGCGTTCGCAATGCCTGAACTTCCATTTCACTCTTGCACGGCCAGAGATGGTGGTTTGTAGCCGCATCTGGGCTGGTGATGCACTGAGCTCATCAGAACATTTCAGTGAATCATTTTTCCCACATTGAAACACTTCATTGCTTCTGAACAAATTTTCAACGGTTGGGTTTCTGATGTACACAAAAGACTTACCGCTTCCAGAGACAGAAGGAGTGCTTAGCAAGCACTGCTAACTGGTTTTCTATCTGTAAATGCACTTTTGGATACTGCTTTTTTCAGGACTATATTCAAAGGTTTTTTTGCTTCCAGTACAATGTGAGACGAAATAAAAGTCAAATCTCTAGAAAATGATGTGGAAAAGGGTTGTCTTTCTTCTCACGCTTTCAGGAACACAAGAGGTACCCTGCAAAATGCTAAGAGCAGGATTTCTGAAAAGCCACTTTGATCCCATTTGAGCAGAGCAGATGAGACTCCACTGTCTGAATTAATTTAAGATTCACACTTGCACAGCATTGAGCTGCCACTGCTTTGTCTCAGGGGCATTTTCATACATGCGAGGCCACCACTGATGATAGAGTCAGGCGCTTTGCTCTGCACAGACTGTGGTCATCCTGTTATCATATCTGGCCACAGAACATCAATCCTGAATGGAAATTTCCCCTGTGCAGGACGGCCACCACAGAGGTTTCTAGGCCACATACTCAGGCATTACTCTGCACCCATCATCAGGACTGTTAGCACCTAGCACACGCTAAAAGCATCTCAGGATGCTGTAACCCAGTACAAAAAAACACCTGATGCTATGAGTTGGGTGTAACAAGGAGCATGTTTTGTGCAGGCAGGTCCCCTCCCGGGTGTCTTCACCAAGGGTGAGGGGAGTCTGCAAATTGTAACTACCCACATACCCATCTTAGAGCACTGTTGCTCATAAATTAAAGCAGAGCAACGTCCCTATTCCTCTTTCAGACACCTGCCAAAGGACAAAAAGTCCACTGGGACACCTGATGCTGGGCAGTTGCTCCTGACAGTGCCTGGGAGCACATGCCTATGCTGCTGCACTAATCCCCGATGCACCTATATGTGGGCCAATGCACCCATGCCAGGGCCCAGGGACTAATACCATGGCTGACGCACCTGTGGGGAGGTCCATGTACCCCTGCCTGGGCCTGGGAACTAACACCATGGTCCACACACCCGTGGGTTGTCCAAAGCCCTTGTGCCTGTGCTGATGCAGCCCTGCATGGGTGGATGCAGTCACTCCTGGGCTGATGTGCCCACGCCACGGCTCACGCCCCCCGGTGAGGGCCAAAGTACCTGTGTCTGGACCAGTGTACCCCGCCACGGACCAATGCACCCATGCCTGGGCTGAAGAATCCATACCTGGGCTTGATGCAGCCCTGCACAGGTGGATGTACCCACACGTGGGCCAAAGCACCGTGACGGGGCTGAACCCCCCTGTGCGGCTGATGTCCCCTGCGCAGTGGAAGCCCCCTGCGCGCTGCCGG